CCATACTAGCCAAACTATGGGAATAACCCAGATGTCCATTGACAGATGAGTGAATAAAGAAGATGTACACACACACACACACACAAACACACACACACACACAGGAATACTACTGAGTCATCAAAAAATGAAATCTTGCCATTTGGAATGATGTGGATGCAGCTCGAGGATATTATGTTAGGCAAAATAAACCAATCAGAGAAAGATAATTATGTGATTTTATTCATATGTGGAATTTAAGAAACAAAACAGGATCATAGAGAAACATAGGGAAAAATAAACAAGATGAAATCAGAGAGGGAGACAAACCATAAGAGACTTTTAATCACAGGAAACAAACTGAGAGTTGCTAGGTTGGGGGATAGGGTAAATGGGTGATGGACATTGGTGAGGATGCATGATGTAATGAGCACTGGGTATTATATGGTACTGATGAATCAAAGACCTCTACCTCTGAAACTAGTAACACATTATGCTTAATTAATTAAATTTAAATAAAAAAATAAATACTAAAAGAAAATAAAACACATACTCATTACTTATAAAAGTCTAATAGAATTTAGTACTGGTAGCATTTCTCAGACAACTCAAGGACTTTAGGACACTTTAACACCATTTATAACTCTCCCATCCTTTGTTTATTTGCTATTGTGTATTTTAATTTTGTGGATATAGGTAGTCCTTGCTTTGCATGGTCCCAATATGCATAATGTTAAATTACCATTATTTAGTTGAATTTAAATAATAGCTGGTCCCAAAAGCATGGTTCAGGTTGTGGCTACCATTATATATTAACTGTGAATAATGAATAATTGCACAAAGTACAAGCTTTGCTGCTAGCTCTTCAATGTGTGCATCACTATGTAAGTAACAAATGCATATGGTGATAGGTGACTAATTACACCACTTCTTTCAAAGTCATTAGTGATTGGTCCCTGAGCACCTGCTATTCAGTCCACAAACAGCTTTACTGTTTGTGCAGCTGTATTGCCTCCTTGTCTTCCAGTGATAAACACATATGACACTTTATAAAATTGAATAACTGGAAGAGGGAAATGTCCAGCAGAGATGAAGGAGCAGCAAAGAAACAAAATGTGATAATGCTGGAAATGACATTTGAATCATATGTAAATGGACTCATAGAAGAAATAGCTGACCATGTGAATGTGATACTGCCACCATCTGAGAGACTCTAGATATTCCAAAAAAGGAATTAGTGAAGGCAAATTATTGACATCAATGAGAAAAATGATTGCAAACAGAAGGATGAAGATGTCCCAAAAGAAATGATGCCGATAAAAAAACGTTCATTAAAGGAGCTCTTAGAAAAATTTTATGACATTGAAAGAACAGAGAATTAAATCTTGGAAGCTGTTTCAGATCTAGAAAGAAGTATGACAATTTGCCAAAACATTGATGTGATACTCTTGCAAGTTACATAACAAAGAGACAAAAGGCATGCACTGTTCAAACTACTCTTGATAAGTTTTTTTTTTTTACAAAGAAATAAAACATTTTAGTTCTAAATCCTTTTTAACATTTAAAATTAGTGTGCTAAATATCAGTTTACTGTTTTTCCTTTCCCTATACATTTATAATCAATAGTAAAGGAAGTTTTACTGTTTTCAAAAAATTTTAAAAGTCACAAAAAAATCATAATTTTTTTTCTCTGATTATAATGAAACTTTCCATAGTTTCAGCATGCAGTTTCATGATCCTATACTATCATGCAGTGCAAGGATTGCCGAGATTTTAAACCCAGTAAGATATTTTTTATTCTGTTTTGTGCAAAGTTCATTTATATTTACCTTTTCATTTACTTTTGTTTTTCATTTCCTTCTGTACTTCTGTACTACCATTTAGCATTATTTCCCTTTAAAATTGTTAAATGAGGGACGCCTGGGTGGCTCAGTTGGTTGGACGACTGCCTTCAGCTCAGGTCATGATCCTGGAGTTCCAGGATCGAGTCCCGCATTGGGCTCCCGGCTCCACTGGAGTCTGCTTCTCTCTCTGACCTTCTCCTCACTCATGCTCTCTCTCACTGTCTCTCTCTCAAATAAATAAATAAAAAATCTTTAAAAAAATTGTTAAATGAAAAGTCAGCTATCAATCTTAGTGCTACTTCTTTGAAACTCTGTGGGTCTTTCCCTATTTTGGCTGGTTTTAATAATTTTCACTTTGTCTTTTTTTTTTTAAGATTAATTTATTTATTTTAGAGAGAGTGCATAGGTGAGGGGAGGGGCAGAAGGAAAGAGGGGAAGGAAAATCCCCGTTGAGTAGGGAGCCCAATGTGGGGCTTGATCTCAGGACTCTGAAATCATAACCCAAGCCTAAAGCAAGAGTTGGACCCTTAACTGACTGAGCCACCCAGATACCACTTATCTTTAGTTTTTAATACCTTTACCACTATGTACCTTAATATGGTTCTTCATATTTTTTCTGTTGGGGTTTGCAGTACTTCTTATAGCTGCAAATTGATTCCTCTATGAATTTTAGAAATTTCTCTTCAAATATTGCTTCTCTCATCCTTTCTCTCTTCTTTGTTTGGGACCCAATGTTAGGTATGCTAGACTTTTTACTGTGCCATATATTTTAAAGATTTATTTATTTATCTGGAGTGGAGAGACAGAGAGAGAGAATGCATGCATGCAAGCCTGGGGGTGAGGGGAGAGGCAGAGGGAGAGAATCTCAAGCATGCTCCCTGCTAAATGTGGAGCCCAATGCAGGGCTTGATCTCATGACTCATGAGATCATGACCTGGGCTGAAACTAAGAGACATTCAACTGACTGAGCTACTCAGGCACCCCTACTGTGCCACATATTTTTAAATTTTCTTTTTTTTCCTCCATGCTGTAGGCTGAATATATTCTCCTGCCTTATCTTCCAGATTATTAATTCTTTTTTGAGCTGTGTCTAATCTGTTGTTAAACTCATGTGTTTAGATGTTCAGTTATTGAATTTTTAAATTCTTGTTTCTGTTTGATCCTTTTAATAATTTCTAATTCTATTTTGAAATTCTCTATCTTTAAAATTTTGAATATATTCTTAGAGTTATTTTAAAGTCTGACAACTCCGATTCTCAAATACTCCCATATTTGAATCTTCTGTGAGCATTTTCTGTTGTTTGTTTTCTTCTCTTGATTTTTTCCATATATTCTTGTTTTGTTTTGTTTTTATGCCTGGTTATTTTTTATGGATTCAAAGCTAGGCCTTGGCCCTCATGAGGACTGCTCCATTTCCCATTATTCCATACTTCTGGGATGAAGCTTTTCAGGGATCCAGCCAAAATCTTGGGGTGTTTGTTTACTAAAGAGTCATCCTCCTTTATAAGCTCTGAACTCCAGTTTTTGGTTTGCTAGCCCTATGAGATTGCTAGAACTTCTATTCAACCTCAGCATCTCAGTTGTTGCTTATAATTCACAGAATTCCTCAAGAGGAAAACAATCAAATGTTGTTTTGGGGATTTGCTTCTCTCCCCTTTAGTCCCCTTAAAAGCCCTTGAAAAAAATATATATATTTCTACCCATCTTGTCTAGTTGCTTTCAGAGTAATGGTTGGCTTGATTTAAGCTTGCCTCCAATAGCTAGAAGTAACATTCTGAGCCTCAGTGTTCTTGAAAGCAGTGTAACAATTTTTGAATAAGATATTTATGGTATAAAAATTCTGCTCTTACCTCCTAATAACTGTGTGACTAAGGAAAACATATTTATCCTCTATGAATTTATGTTTTTCTTAATAATAGAAAAAATAATTTCTACTTGATAGGGTTGTTTTTTTGAGTCTCAAATGAGGGGGTAACATACTGAAAACAAAATGTTTGGCATAATGTCTAGAACATAGTAAGTGTTCCTTTTTAAAGATTATTTGTTATGGAGATAGAAAGAGTAGGTGGAGAGGCAGAGGGAGGGAATCTTTAAAGCAGACACCCCCACTGAGTGCAGACCTATGAGATCATGACCTGAGCCAAAACCAAGAGTAGTAAACCTAACTGACTGAAACACCCAGGCACCCCTAGAACATAGTATTTGTAGATAATAGGTATTCTTGTTTCTTCAAGAAAATAGTTCATATTTCATAGAATTTCATAAAATTAAATGGCTGCCTAGAAGACTGTGATTATGTTCAACTTTTAACTGATTGTAATGTACTAAAGAAATAGACTAATTACTTACAAAGTGCACTGCCTGGTTTTAATGTGCTAGGCACGGGCTTACATGCATTATATCCTATAAAGTTACCTTTTTATTTTACAAATAAAATACCCTTATTTTACAAATAAGGAATGTGAGGCTAGGAAGATTACATGATTGTGCAAGGTCAGATGGTGAGTGGGCAGGGAAGCCAGTGTTCAAACACAATTCTAACAACTCCAAGGCCAGAATTCCTAACCCCACTCCTGTTCTAATCCCATGAAGCTACATCTCTCTTTCCTAATTGAGAAAAAATGTTAGATTGCAGAATCTTGCACTGGAATGGCATCAAGTCAGTAGTCAGTAAATATTTATTGACTCATTGACATCCAAACCAATGAAATCTGTGACATAATAGTAATAGAAGGAAATGACAATTTAAGAAGAGAACTGCTAGTTTTGTCTCCACTTTTCTTTCTTTCTTTCTTTTTTTTTTTCTTTTAAGATTTTATTTATTTGACAGATAGAACATAAGCAGGCAGAGCCACAGGCAGAGGGAGAGGGAGAAGCAACTCTCCGCAGAGCAGGGAGTCCAAGGCGAGACTCAATCCCAGAACCCTGGGATCATGACCTGAGCCAAAGGCAGATGTTCGACTGAGCCACCCAGGTGTCCCTTGTGTTTACCTTTCAACCATGGAAGTGGAATTTTGGATGGATCAACAAACTGTGAGAACCAGTGAAGGATTGAATCATAAACAGAAGTTTTGACCCATGGTAAAAAACTAAGCTGTTACAACCATCTAGAGGCCCAGAATTATCAATCAAGACTGGCTATTGTGGAGTCTGTGCTGCATTTTTCATTGTACTTACATATGAGTCATTTTACTCAAATTGTAGAAGGAATGTGATTCCAGACGTTGCAGGGTTGCATCTATTGACAAGTAGCTGAATGTCACAAAAATATAAAGCAAAGTAGAAAGTTAGTAGGGTTGTGAATGCCATACATATCCCAAACATATTAATCTTGATAAAGCTCCTTTGTCAGGGGCTTCCCAGAACAGGCAACATGACTTCTCTCTACTTATATTAAAATTAGTTTTACTTTTTTCAGATCCTGTGGTACCTGGAAACTTCTCAGTTCTTTAGGTCCTATTCATCTTAAGGTTTCATTCAACTCATACTTCTTCAGAAGCTTTTCCTGAATTTCCCGATTAGGTCAAATGTCCCTTAAGTATATCTCATTGCACCAAGAACTTCTCCTTTCACTAACTACTGCAGTGCAACTTTCTTATTGTTTGGATAATATATGATTTTTATTGTCTGATTAGGCTATGCATTCTCTGAAATAGAAAACTGTGTCTGTTTTGGGTGGCCTTTGAATTTTGAGCATCTTTCATAGCATGTAGTAGACACTCAATAAATATATATTAAGGAAATGAATGAGTGAGTAGATGAATTACTCAAAATAGCAAAAATGAAAGACATTAAAAAAGAACATAGGAATTAAACAAGAAGCATTTTTAGTGGAGTATGTGATAGCATGTGATTAGAAATAGTTTCAAAGATGAGAAATCAATAATTCTCTAGTGAAACATTCCATAGGGGGGTGACTGCATATCTACTCAAGACTTCTCTTCTTTATTTTGATGAAGTAGAAAATTCAAGATCTGTCCTGAACTTTGTAAGCAACAGATAACTCAAATAAAAGTTTTTAAGTATTAAAAAGAGAAAAGAGAAACTTCTAAGTATAACTTGTCAAGAATACATACGAATATTATTTCAAATAGTCTCCACAAATTCTATTCTTGTAATGAGAAGGACAAATACAACCAAGTTCAAGGACTGCTTTTTACTGACAGGCATCTCTAGGATATTTGGGAAAATTAAGAATTAATAGATAGTGTCCACTTGTAGTCACAGCAGAGATTCTCAACGCTGGTCATATAGTTGAACTACCCAGGAGGCTGTTGAAATTTACGTATGTCCAAGACATGATGCAGGATAGTTAAGTCAGAGTTTATGAGGGATGACGTCTAAATATTTTTATTTTTAAAAAGCTTCCTATATGATTCTAATGTGCAGATGGGTTGAGGACCAGTCATCTATAGTTTAAATTAAGTCTGTCAGTAAAATATTTTCATTAATACAATGTTTATGAGAGGAGTTCTGACTGTTGGCATGGTCATTGTGAATGGTCTAATGGTCCTGTACTTTCTGTTTTATCTATTCTCTAAATAATTTTTCTTTATCAGGTCTCCCAAGCCATTGCCACTTGTGGAAAACATTACGTAAATTATTTTGATCCAAATATATCTTTAACAAAGAGGAAACAATGGAAGACATTGAAAAGATTAATTTATTGTGTAAGGATTGCAGAGATTTATAATGAAGAAGCTGAGCCACCTGAAGGACAAGATTAATTTTGAAGGCTGCAAACTTGTTTACCTAACTTTAGGTCATATCTTTTGCTCTAAATTTTCTCCTGAATTTCTTATTTTAGAAGTGTGAAGCTTTCTCAAGGGGTTACTGGGATGGTCATTCTGCCCATGTCATAACAACTGAAGTTCCAGATCTGCACCTGAATTCAACATCCTTAAAGGGCTCTTACAGCTCAGTTGTGAAGACAACATGTAGGAACCATTTTTTTTTAAAGATTTTATTAATTTATTTGACAGAGAGAGATCACAAGTAGGCAGAGAGGAGGGGAAGCAGGCTCCCTGCTGAGCAGAGAGCCCAATGTGGGACTCGATCCCAAGACCCTGAGATCATGACCTGAGCCAAAGGCAGAGGCTTTAACCCACCGAGCCACCCAGGCGCCCCATGTAGGAACCACTTATTCAGTGGGATGAAAGAAGTGATTCCCTGCTTGCTTATCCCATTTTTAAAAGCAGGAAAAATCAGATCCCACCTCTTCCTCATATTTCTTCTTAGCCTATAAATCTGTGATAATGTGATCATTAGGGTGACATATCATTTATCATCCAAACTAGGATATTTTTATGAGTTATACAGGTTGCTATTAATAATTATACCTGGATCATAGGTGGAAATTTGTCCTGTCCCAGGCAAATCTATCGAGGATCAACCAAATGATTTCTCTTCTGTCCCCTAGACATACCAGATCTTTAATGATTACTTATGTATCTATGTGTGCTTCCATTCAACAAATACCTGTTGAATATTTACTCTGTCAGTAAATGGGCATTGGCAAAACAGATCTGTTCCCTAGCCTCAAGGAAATCACAGTAGTGGGTAATATAGGTAGGTAAATGGGATTAACATATAGAGTGGTAAGTGCACGATGTGGTTCAGGGAGCATTTAACCGAATTGGAGAATCCAGCATAGCCTCCATGGAGAAAGTCTCAACAGGGTCTTCGAATCTGCTTGGGTGTCCTGTATATCTCAACCACCCCTCCTCTTTTATTGCCCACCACTTTTATTTCAGTCCTTAAATTTCCAACTCTTCACCCTATTAGCAGATTATCTTTTATTAATTTGTAGGAGAGACTGAAACCTTGAGATGAGAATTCCTTGAATTCTCCACCAATAAGCCTATTAATTTACCTGCACCTGCTTCATCTCTTACTACTACCTTCTTGTGACAGCATAAAAAATGACAATCTTCCTATAGCAAGTCAATCCCTCTGTTTGGATCCCATCCCTTCTTGCTTTCTCAGGGACCTCATGCTCTTAAAGTTCTTTGTTCTTTACTCTCCTTAGCCTTGCTCTCTCTACTGATCCCTTCCCTGGTCTCAGTTACATCTGCCTGTTTATGACTCTTAAATCTCAAAAAACAAAAGCAAAAACAAAAAAACAAAACAACAACAACAAAAAAATCCTACTTGAATCTTTCCCAGAGCATCCCTCATAACAGCACCTCTGGATTTCCTGACTCTACTATGCTTTTTCTTTTTATCATATCCATTATTCCCTTCTAAGCTAGTATACATTTATTATGGTTTTGGTTGATTGTCTATATCCTTCTATTCAAATGTAAACTCCCCACTGGCATCAATCTTTGTTTCCTGATGTATCTTCATCTCCTAGAACAGTCAATGGCACATACTAGGGGCTAAATAAATATTTGCCAAATGAATGAATGAAAAATTATGTCTGTATCTTGGTGTCTGCTGGACATAGCTTGCTTGATGCCTCAAAGGCACCTCAAATACTCAAATGCCCCAAACTAAACTCCTAACTTGCTCCCTGACCCTCCATAGCAAATCTACAGAAAAATTGTCTAGTGTAGTAAATATGCTCATCAACTACACAGATGTCCTAGTCAGACACTTGGATGAAATTCTTCTCCTTTTCCCTCCACCTCCAAATCAATCAACTTTCCGGTTTGTTGGTTCTCTCCTATTTGTTACTCACACATGGCCATTTTATTTCCCCTTAACCATCACCACTCAGTTCATGATCCCCTCTTCCCAGGGACATTGCATCAACCTCCTCACTAGCTTCCTGTCTCCAGTCTTACTCCATTTGACTCCCGTTTCACAGCACAAAGAATTGTTTCTAAAACACTTGATCTGTCACTTCCCTGCTTATAACCACTTTGTGGCTTGGCCCTTAGGGAAGATTTCAAACTGCTTTACATGGTTCACAAGGCCCTGCACTTGCTCATTCCTTGGTTTCATTTTTCTCTACTGCCCTTCTCTCAGCTTAAGCTCTAGCCTCAACAAATTTATTTTAATTTAACTGACAACCCAGCTTTTTCCTTCTGCTTGGAACTATCTTTCCACCTCCCTAACCATCCCACCACGCAGATAAAGCAGATCACATATTAGGTGTCATTTCCTCCAGGAAGGCTTCCCTGACTACACTCTCCATCCAGGTAATATGCTTCTTGTATGAGTTCTGTAACACTCTATGATTGACCCTATCATAACACTGTCACCCTCTTCGGAAGGAAAGTGGAAGCTCCATGAGTATTATTAGCTGTTTTGTGTGAAGCATCTAGCAAAGTCCCAGACACAAACTAGGGCTCAATAAATATTTGTTGAATGAATGAATAGAGTAGTGGTCAAGCTATTGGGACATCCAAGTAGAGACACCAAATGGGTAATTATATAGGAATTGAGGGAGAAAGGAGAGATAAAGGGGAATGCAGTGTTTAGTTTAGAGATCATTAAATGGTCATGCCATTAAAGGGAGGAGAAGGATCAATTTAGCAGGAAGATGATGGGTTTATTTTGGATTTGCTGTTTGAAGTGACTGTGGAACATCAAGATGATGATACTTGGAAGGAAGCTTCTAAAGAAGGCCTGACCTGTAGGAACAAGGATGAATTGATCTTTAAAGAATTGAATGAAATGAAAAAGGGAGCTAGGAAAGGAGACTGAGGAAGAGTAGCTAAGGTAAGATGTTAAAAAGAGGGATGAGAGCAATATCCAGGAAACGAAAGGAGATTAGAATTTGAAAAAGGAAAGGCTGGCCAGGAAAATCAAAGACTGCAGAGATGTTTAGCTGGGATGGTTTCTCGGCCACAGCACTGCTGACATCTGGGACTAGAAAATCCTTTGTTGTGGAAAGATATTCTGAGCTCTAGAGGGTGGTTAGCAGATCCTTCACCTCTACCCATGAGATGCCAGTAGCCCTCTCCTCTAGTAACAACTAAAAATGTCAAATTCTACTGAAATGACACAATAGACAATAAATGGTCATGAAATGAATGAATTTAGCCCAAATCACACAGGTAGCTCCTGGTTGTACTTTCACTTGAAGTGCCTGAACTATCATCACTGCTTGGCAGAATCCATTAAACAAAATAAGGCCCTTATTCATTTCATATATAGTTATATTCTTGTCAACTCAATATGGAAGTCCTTTTTATCCTTGCTCTTGAGTGTATAGCAATTCAATTTTCTAAGGTTTAGAATTATTTTTGTGTGTGTGTTTTTTTTTAAATGAGAGAAGTCTGAAATCATTACCTACATTTCTGACAAAAGGTAAACATTTTCCTAGGGGCATAAAGTGAACCAAGTATTGGTAAATAGGAGAGATGGACTAGAGATCGATATATAAATCTGTTTATGGGGGAGATTTCTGGCTAAGTTTTTGCCACATCCTAAGATACATTAAAATACATTGAGAATTATTAAATTTTCAAGACCAAATTAATTTAAATTTGCATTAGGTTTAATAAATCAGTTAGGAAGTTAGGATTAGAGATGCCACAAAATCAAATAAACATCTTGCACATAAAATTTTTACATACATTGGAGATGTAGATATTGACTTATACAAGTACAGTATATATCAAGTATTTGTCTTTATAGAACACATTTAAAAAATAACATGGCACAGTTGCAAACTTTTATTTATATGAAAAAATGACTTACATCCTGGAAATATTGGGCAGATTTGAAAATGCATGACTGGGAATGGTTTTCAGATGAGTCTCTGTAAACTTCCTATGAAAATAACAGTTACACAATTAGAGTTTTAATCATTAGACTTTTATAATAAGTCACCTTAATTATGAACCATACATTATTAGAAGCATGCTGGTCCTTATGATACATATTCCATCATACATAATCAACAAGATTAATACTCAAGGAAAAACAAACATACAGTTTTCCCCCAACAAAACAAAAATTGAGAATGAGATTCAAATGCAGAAAATAAAACTTCAAACATCATCTTTGAATTTGCAGTAAACTCATATGCCTTGTTTAACATCATATTCAAATTATTAACTGGTGAGCAATATAACATATTCATGAGATTATCAGGACTACTGAATTCATATAATGCACATGTCAATAGAAATGTCTTGGAATGCCACTGGAACACATATGAAGAACATATTAAAAGCATTAAATGCATGTGATATATCTTAAAGATTAAAAATAGTGGTATGGTTACAATCTTTTTTCCTAACCAAAGTTCTCTTAAATCATTAACTTGATCTTATCCTTCACTTGATACTGTTTGGAAATAACTGACTGACAAGGAGCTAGTTCTCTTGTGACATCTTTATTTATTAATTATTTAGTAATTATTATTACTAATTATTAATTATTATTTATAATCAACTTAAAGGTTGTGGCTTTTCTTCCAGTTGACTTTTTTGGATACTTTTCAGAAGGCTGAGATTATTTTCCTTATAGGTAGTAAGACATTTTCATGAATTTAAAGATGTTTGTCCACCGAGGTGTCCCCCCTCTTTTTTAAGATTTTATTTATTTGTCAGAGAAAGAGAGAGAGAGCCTGTGCACAAGCAGGGGGAGCAGCAGGCAGAAGAAGCTGGCTCCTGCTGAGCAAGGAGCCCAATGCAGGACTCCATCCCAGGACCATGGGATCATGACCTGAACTGAAGGCAGACACTTAACCAACTGAGCCACCCAGGCATCCTGAAGTGTTCTATTTTTGACTTTCTTTTGTGGATACTGTGACTGCTTGATAGAATCCTATAGGAAAGAAGGTGTCCTAACTCACTTTGCAAAAAGATAATACCTCACCACACTTACCGTCTTCTCCCTGGGTTTGTTTCGCCATATAAATATGGGCAATCATATATCATCTATTTACTAACTAAAACTGTGTTTCCTTTCTAGGCTGCAGGGTTGGGTTTTTTTGTTTGTTTGCTTGTTTTTTTTTTTTTTTTTTTCCCCCCTCAACAATCTGTTTCCTTGATTTCTGAATTCTTTGAACTACTAATTTTTACAGTCATTGAAATGCATTTGGAGCTTCTGGTTTCTGGTTCTGGAAGCCTGGAAGTCACCTCTCCCTCTTAATAAGTGAAAAGCTGAACAGACTGAACAGACTGAACAGACTGAAAATTGAACAACTCTTCTTGGCGAACAGAAGACATAGGGAAAACTGCTGTTCTCAAGACAGTCGGGCAAATGACGGGAGTCCCAGACTTCCAGGGCAGAGACTGATGTGTGGCAACCACAGGGAGAACCAGTGTCAGGGTAGGAAACCTATACTGGATTGAAGAATTGCTGGAGGCGGGGGCACCTGGGTGGCTCAGTGGTTTAAGCCTCTGCCTTCGGCTCAGGTCATGATCTCAGGGTTCTGGGATCGAGCCCCACATCAGGCTCTCTGCTCGACGGGGAGCCTGCTTCCCTCTCTCTCTCTGCCTGCCTCTCTGCCTACTTGTGATCTCTCTCCGTCAAGTATATAAATTCTTAAAAAAAAAAAAAAAAGAATTGCTGGAGGCATAGTGTTGATAAATTTCCAGGGGAGACAGTCATAGGGAACCTCCACAGTTTTGTAAAATTTACCTCCAGGAGGTCAAACAAGTTCTAATGGTAAGCATTAGGGAAAAAAAAATCCCCTTGTGTTTCTGGCAAAGGGAAAAGGATCATTTAGAAATATACCAGAACACAGTTCTTACCCAGGCCTGCCCTCAGGGGACACTATTAACCAGAGCCAAACTGATCTTGGGTAGGGACAATACCCAACCCCAGGTCACTCTAGCAGTTCTGTGCTACTTAAGGGGAAACAAACAAACTGAGAAACACTGATAAAGTTTAGAGTCTGGAGCACAGGCTCACTAAAAGACTGAGACCTAATCACAAGACTATAGAACACTTCCCCACCCCCAACACCTCACCATCACATTACTAATGGCCCTATATTTATAGCAGTTCCTTTTACCCAGTACAGCATGTCTGTCTAACCAGAAATATAAATGCAGGGAGGAGGAGCAAGATGGTGGAGGAGTGGGAGACCTAACTTTCATCTGCTCCCAGGAATTCAGCTAGATCGTTATCACACCATTCTGAAGGCTACAAAGTCAGCAGGAGATCAAAGAAAAGAATAGCAGCAATTCTATGAACAGAAAAGCGACCACTTTCTGGAAGGTAGGATGTGTGGAGAAGTGAATCAGACGTGATATATGGGAAGACAGACTATGGTGGGGTGGGGAGGGAAGCCTCTGTCAGCCAGTTCTTGGCAAGTGACAGAACCGTGGAGCACAAAATCAGAACTTTTACAAGTCTGTTCTGGTGAGGGACATTGCTCCAGTGGCTAAGTGGTGGGTGGAATCCTCCCTGGGACAATGGTCTCAGGACCCTCAGGGTCACAGAAAGACTGGGGGTGCCCAAATGTGGCAAAGCTCCCAGGTATTGGAGTGGGGAGGCTGGCTGCAGAGATGGAGTTGAGGTGGGGGGCTCTCACCTTGGGGTTACCATAAACCATGATCTGTGGCACAATTGGGACACTACTCTTTGAGCAGAGACCCCACAAGTGGCAGGTCCAGGGAGACCCCCCTACTTCCTCCACTGGGGGGAGCAGTGCAGGCGTGCTCTGCAGGAATGTGCTGGGTTTGGAGACTTCAAACGGTCTGTGCACTAGAGATAGAAATGCTGGGTTACCGGCTGGGTGAGCTTGGAGTGTGGTGAGAGACCAGGGAGACAGGCATGATGACTGCTTTTCTCTGAGGGCTCACTGAAGAGGGGGGGGCCCTGAGGTCTCAGCTCCTCTAGGGCTGGAGATTGGGAGGCCGCCATCTTCATTCCCATCCTCCAAAGCTGTACAGAAAGCATTCATGGAACAAAAGCTACCTAGAGCATACCCGAGCAAATTACTTAGCCTGGTCACTGGCAAGGGCAGTGCAATTCCACCTCAGGCAAAGACATTTGAGAATCACTGCAACAGGCCCCTATGCCAGAAGACCAGCAAGAACATACAGCCAAGATCAAGTTTACCAATCAATGAGAACTACAAAACTCCAGCGATAGTGTAATACAACACATAGAATTCATGGCTTTTCCCCAGTGATTCTTTAGTCTCTCAAAGATAAATTTTTAAAATTTTCTTTATTTTTTCTTTTTCTATTTTTGCAAATTTTCCTCTTTCCTATTTAATCAACATCTTATGTATACCTTTTTAAAAATCTTTTTTAATTTTCATTTTTACATTTTACATTTTCATTTTACATTTTTCATTTTTACAGTCATATTCTTCCTAGTCAACTTCTTCCTAGAAACATCACCAAAGGCAAGGGAAGCCAGGGCAAAAATGAACTACTGGGACTTCATCAAGATAAAAAGCTTTTGCACAGCAAAGGAAGCAGTCAACAAAACCAAAGACAACCAACAGAATGGGAGAAGATATTTGCAAATGACATATCAGATAAAGGGCTAGTATCCAAAATCTATGAAGAATTTCTCGAACTCAACACCCAAAGAACAAATAATTCAATCAAGAAATGGGCAGAACACATCCAAATGGCCAACAGACACGTGAAAAAGTGCTCACCATCACTCAGCATCAGGGAAAGACAAATCAAAACCACAATGAGATACCACATCACACCAGTCAGAATGGCTAAAATTAACAAGGAAACAACAGTTGATGAGGATGTGGAGAAAGGGGAAGCCTCCTACACTGTTGGTGGGAATGTAAGCTGGTGCAGCCACTCTGGAAATCAGTATGGAAGTTCCTCAAGAAGTTGAAAATAGAGCTACCCAACAACCCAGCAATAATACTACTGGGTATTTACCCAAAAGATACAAATGTAGTGATCTGGAGAGGCACATGCACCTGATTGTTGATAGCAGCAATGTCCACGATAGCCAAACTATGGAAATTGCCTCGATGTCCATTGACAGATGAATGGATAAAGATGTGATACACAACACACACAGACACACACACACAGGGATACTATGCAGCCATCAAAAAGGAAATCTTGCCATTTGCAACAATGTGAATGGAACTAGAGGGTATTATGCTAAGTGAAATAAGTTAATCAGGGAAAGACAATTATCATATGATCTCACTGATATGAGGAATCTGAAAAACAAGACATAATCATAGGGGAAAGGAGGGAAAAATGAAACAAAATGAAACCAGAAAAGGAGAGAAGCCATAAGAGAGTCTTAATATCAGGAAATAAATTGAGGGTTGCTGGAGGCGAAGGGGGTAGGAGGGGTGGGGTGGCTGGGTAATGGACATTGGGAATACTATGTGCTATGGTGAGTGTTGTCATTTGTGTAAGACTGATGAATCACAGACCTATACCCCTGAAACAAAGAATACATTATATGCTAATTTAAAAAATTAACAACAACAACAACAAGGAATTTGGGGAGAAATAGGAAAGGGTTAAAAATAATAATAATAATAAAAAGAAATATATCTGCAATTAGCCTAATCAGTGCATCAGCAAGACCAAATTAATTTATATAAGGATCTGTTAACTTGAGGGAGGGAAGGTGACGTGAATGATGAAAGGGTAAATTGTTAGTTCTTGGGTGTTTCAGCATGAAGCCCACTGTTGCTTTAATATCATTTCAAAAATCCAAGTTCCATAAATTACCCACCCTTCCTCATAGGTCTCCCACTTACATTCCCTTAATTTGATTGATTAAAAGCTGTTGGTCCAGATTCTGTAGTTTAAAAAAAAAAAAAAAAGAACAACAAGTCACTTGATTAAAATCTCCCAGGAAAATTG